AAAAAATTTTTAAATTTTATTGTTGACAGTATTACAGATGTCCCCCAATTTCCCCCCTCTTTATCCCCCTCCTGCCAGGCCTGCTCCACCCCAGGCCTTCACCACACTATTGTCTGTGTCCACTGGTTATGCATGTAAGTTCTTTGGTTAATTTCTTCCCATCCCCCAGTCCCCCCTGGAGATTTGTCAGTTGGAACATCTTTTTTATTAATTAAAATTTTTTTTTATTGATTTCAGAGAGGAAGGGAGAGGGAGAGAGACATAGAAACATCAATGATGAGAGAGAACCATTGATCGGCTGCCTCCTGCATGCCCCACACTGGGGGGCAGAACATCTTCTTAATAGCTGTGTGAGTTTGGGCAAATCACTTCCCCCGTGTATCAGTTTCCTCATGTGCACAGAATGGGGATGACAATTATATCTGTCTTACAGGGCTGCGATGAGGATTTCTAGACATGAAATGCTTAGCACAGTGCCTGGTAAACCAGGAAATACCATAATTCCTATGATTGCTTTGGGAGCCTAGGCAGGAGACGAAGTGGCTTGGGTAAAGAGGTGGGCACTGGGGAGGGACAGAAGGATTCACTGAGGGGCAGAGGGAATGACATGCGCAAGAAGGGTGCCAGCGATGGAGGGGAAGAGGCTAACGCGTTTTCTTTTTTGAAGATGGGGCCCCGCTGGGAAAGTCTGATGACCTAGCAGTGAGCGAGTGATGTTCTTGAGGAGGAGACGGGAGGCGGGGGACCCAAGAGGAAGAGGAGGGCTGGCCTCCGAAAGGGCAGCGAGGAGACCCGGACGGGCGGTGCAGAGGAGCATGCCTTTGACATAGTGAGGGGCTTCCCGGTCCCCCCTTTATTTCCCCGCAGTCAGAAATGCACGGCTAGCTGTGACCTTTCCGGGGGTGTCTGTGTGAGTGTGCGGGTGTGTGTCTCATGAGTGTGTGCGTGCATCTGCACGTATGTTTGTATCTGTGTATCCGTGGATGTGTATTTGTGAGAATGGGTATGTGTGCACCGATGTGTGCCTGTAGGGGGGCATGTCTTGTGTCTGTGCCTGTGTCAGTGTGGGCATATTGTGGTTGAGGTCACAGAAGGCCTGTGTCACCCTCATGGAGAGTGGAGGACAAACAAGCGCCGGAGGCTGCTGATGGCCCTGTGAGGTTTGTGAGCACGAGGTACCGCGCGGGTGACCCCATGGCTGGGAGGGAGAGAGGGTCTCCAGTCACAGTGTCGCCGCCTGGCCGTACACAGTCGGGGTGTTGCTGCCACCTCGTGGGCTGGCCGGGGATGCCCAGGCCGCTGCTCAGGAGCGAGGTCTTAGCACCCCCTGGTGGCCAGCGGTGTCTCTGCCGGTGGAGGCCTGCTTCCGCCCCCGCCCTCCCTCGGATCGCCCAGATGCCCAGGGGATGAGGCCGTGGGCGGCCACAAGAGTGAGGGGGTCACAGCCCGGCTGCTGGGTGGATCGCAGCTCCAGGTGCCATCCTGTGCATCTCTGGACAAGCCTCTCTGTGCCTCTGTCCCCTCGCCTGTGAAGTGGGCAAGGCAGGCACAATCAGGGCTGCTGGGAGAGGTCTACCCACCATGGAGTGCATGGGCGAGGCCAACACAGTACCCACTGTCCTGAGCGCTTGATTTAGGCTGGCACACCCTAGGCTCCTAGGTTTTAAACTACTCACTTCTGACCTCTGACCTCTGACCTTTGTCCTAGGCTTCAAGTGTTCTTGGGAGCAGCCCCCAGCTTAACTTTTGGAGTCCCTCCTCTCGCCCCCCCCCCCAGCAGTGGGGGAGGGGCAGAATCATCTGCTCCTAGGTGGCCCCAGCCCCACCAGACCCCTGGCCACCCTCCGCTCCTGGCCACCTTATCCCAGCTGAGACTCTCGTGCAAAGGGCAGGGTGAAGAGTCTGGGAGCAACGGCGGCCTCAGCGCCAGGCCAGGCCAGGCCACCCAGAGGGACCACAGCTCAGGGCTCTCACTCCCCCTCCCTTTCCCCTCCAGCATGGGTGAGTGGACCATGGAGCCACTTCCTCTGAGAGGGCAGCCATGGCCAACTCCCTCCCTCCTCTCCCCACACTAGGGCAAGCCCACAGCTCCCTAAGGGTGCTGGTTTATTCCTCATCCAGGTCATTGTACCCATCAACACAGGGTCCCCAAGATGAGGACAGATCATTTCAGCCCTGCTCAGCCCCAGTAGCCTGCCCCCAGCTCCTGGGAACCATCCTGGTCCACTCCTGTGCCCATGGGTCAGCACTGAGCTCCCTGTGCCCAGCTCCGGGTCCTGCTGCCCTGGGTGGAGTGGGGAGGAGACGCCAGGAGGAAAGTCCCTTGATGAGCCACTGGTGCTCCTCAGGTCTCCTAGAGCTCGCAGGTTCCGGGAGGACCCTAGTCTGTCCTCTTCATCACTCAGAGAGCAAGGCTCGTGTCTGAGGAGGTCTGAGCTGCTCTGAGGGCAAAGGCCTGGCAGGGACTCCACTGTGAGCTGCACCAGAGAGGCAGGGGAAGGGCACTGGGGGTTCAGTGGTTATTTTCCCTACGTGCGTGGTGGGCCGCTTGACCTCTGGGAGGAGCCTGTGGGCCCTTCTTAGGACCCTGACCCAGACAGCCCTCCCTCCAGACTATACCCACAAAGTGGGAAGCAGGTGAAGTAGGGCAGGGATGGGCAGCACAAGATGGTCCCAGAGAGGAGGGGGAGGACTGTCCAAGTCGCCCCCAACCCTGACACATTATACAGGCTCACACACATACACACTCCCTCACCCCAGACAGATACCCATAGACAGACACTTACCACACCTAACCCTAACCCCCCCAACACATATATACACATAAAGACTCACATGCTCAACCCCACACCCAGACACTTACACAGACACACACACACAGACACACATACCCTCACAGACACACCCACACAAACATACAGACACACACACAGAAACACATACATGGAGACACAGACACACTCACAGACACACAGACATATACATAGACTCACATATTCACCCATCCACTCTCCCAGCCCAGACACCCAACACACACACACACACACACACACACACACACTTTCCTGTATTGGCAGGTAGCACCACTGTCCCCAAGCCCTAGGGCTATACAAGGCTTGAGGCTGGGGCTAGGGGCTGGAGTTGGGTCCACCTCAGTGGATTCAGGGTGAGGTCTCAGGGCTGGGCCTGGCGGTCATGCTGGGAGCCAGGACTGTGTTACCTGTTATCACCCAGGAGGAAGACCCCTCTTTGATGGATGTGTTGTGTGTGTATATCTGCCCAACTCAGGTCTGGTTGTCTCTGAGAGATGACACAAGTCAAGATGTCTTTTCCTACCCCCAACACACACACACACACACACTCGCACATGCACACACTGTGGAGGATGGTCTCAGGGCAATCCTGGTTGTCTCTAAGCTGCAGACAACCCAACTGGGCTTCCAGGTGTCCCCAGCTGAGCTGATGGCCAGTGACACTGCCTCAGGCTCAGCCAATGCACCCGTGACCAGAGACACTGTTTCTGCATCGTGAATTCTGTCTGACTTTGTGGGCACACAGCCTGGGGACAGCTGCTTCTGGGCCATTGTTAGCCCTCCCGCCTCCTCTTACACTGCTCTGGCCCTGGCCAAGGTGCTGGTGGGTCAGCCTCTTTGGCTCTCAGCATCTACCTTCCTGTCTCCCACACCCTCAGGCCCTGACCACAGCATCCTCCCTGGCATGCTGGGTTCCTTCTGACAGATGGCCCAGGCCACTCCAGCTGCAACCTGAGGGGAAGCCTCAGCCTGCTCAGGGTTCTTGGACGCATGTGGCCTGAACAGGCAGGTGGCAGCCTCATCTCTTTGTTCCGCCTTTGTAAGTTTCCAGAGCCCATGTTGGAGGCAGAGAAGGAGATGGGGCAGCTCACTCCAGTGTGAGCTTTGCAGTCCAGGGTGGGATCCAGCAGCGTGTCCCACCGTGGGGACGGCAGGGTCTCCTTCTTAGGGTCCAGCAGCACCTCCCCTTGCCAGTGGGAACAGATTGAGAGCAATCTCCTGGGAGAGATCCACAGAGACCACAGGGGGGCCCAAGAAGGGCAAGCAGCATACTCCTGAGAGACAGAAATGAGACCCAAAGGTAGGCAGACAGACCCTAGATGACTAGAAACAGTCAGGCAGCACTTCCCATTACAAAAAGACCCGAAGTGGCCACAGTCACACCCACACTCAAAGCTCCAACAAACACTCTCCCAAGACCTTCCAGGAATCTATCTCCCTGGTTTTTGACAAGTTCAGAGCCATTCCTGTCAAGACCTTCCAGGAATCTCCCTGGTTTTTGACAAGTTCAGAGCCATTCCTGTGTGAAAATGTATGCTTTTGGGTATGTTTTCTCTATAGCCTCTCCTCCCCCTTCCCCAGCCCTGGTTCACCAGGGGAAGACGATCCTGACAACTTTGAGGTGGTCTTGTCAGGTGAATAGAGCCAGGGATCAAGGCCAGGGTCAAGGTCTGAAGATGGCAGCTTTAGTCCAAAGCTCTGCTTAGCCCAGAGGTTCAGAAAGCCAGGGATGGCATTACTCCCTGCCCGGCAATGCCACACCCACTGGAACCCACGTGCACTGCAACAAGCCCAGTGGCAGCCCCAAAATGGCAGCTTGCCCAAAGAGCTCATCACTGCCCTGGCAGTCCTCACAGGGCCCCCACAAAGAGCACTGACGACAAGAGACCCAGTGGGCCTCCGTGGGGACAGGTCTATCGTTTTGCAGACGAGGGTGCTGGTACCGAGACAGGAGGACCCAGTTAACCAAGTGCTGGCCTCGGAGGCCTGAGTGTGAGGAGCTGGCCCGGAATGGAAGCTGCTGCTAGCTGCTCCTGTCACACACACTGGCCACTCCTGCCCTGGACTTCCGTGCAACCGGGCCTGTGGGCGCCTGGCTCTGGCTGCTCTGGGGAGGGAGAAAGAGCCCCCGACAGCCCCGGGAAAGGGCTGGTGCTCCCATGCCAACACCGAGTGTAGACACTGCTGTTCTGGAAACCATGTGCTTTATTTGGAACCTCCTCCTGGGTCATAGAAAAGCTGCAAACCCTGTGGTTTGGTACAAGGCAATGGCGAAGGGACTGCAGGAGATCCCTTACCACCCGACCCTCATCCTCGGGCCTCAGGCTTCCCTGGTCATCCTGACTCCTGGCTGAGCTGGGTGTGGGCAGCTGGGACTCCTGGCTGTCCAGCTCACACCTCTCCATACCTTCCTCAGCCAAGAAGGAAGGAAGTGGCTATGCGGCTTGAGCCAGGGTCCCTACCCAAGGCCTGGGCCCCTGTCCCCACCAGGGCCTGCAGCAGCCACAGCTCCTCACGTCCTCGGAGCCCAGTTGTTCTGGGTACATCTCGGCTCCTGGCTAAGGAAACATGCCCCTCGGACAGGTGAGTGGTGGGCAGGCCGCCCACGGGCAGCCGCCAGGCCCTCAGTACAGGTCAGCGAAGGGCTTGGAGTAGTTGAACATCAGGTAGTCCATGTAGTAGAAGTCGTAGGCGCGCTGCCGCTGCGGGGCCGAGAGCTGCGCGAAGTACTGGTGGGTGATGCCCGCGGTAGTCCGTGCCTCCTGCGAGTGCCGGTCCTTGAACTGGGGGAAGGTCAGGTTGCGCGGGGCGTGGATGAGGCTCAGGAAGAAGTTGGCATCGTCCTCCATGCTCTCGAACTTGCCCACGAAGTCATAGTCGATGAGGCAGGGGCTGCAGAGCCGGCTGACGTGGTCCCAGTGGATGTCCATGCCCACCGGCCGGTGCACGTCCAGCAGGTACTGGACGAACTCGGGGAAGCGCACGCCAGAGCCCGTCCGCAGGGCTTCCCCAGAGGCGTTGGCCCGGTACCGGGCCAGGATGGCCTTGCCGAAGACGGGGTGATAGTAGCTGTTGGGGTGCTCGAACTTGTCGCGGAAGGCGGAGACCAGCCTCTCGAAGGGCTCGCGGACGAAGAGCATCTTGGTGTAGGTGCTGAGGCGGTGCAGGATGCCCTGGCGGTCGAAGGTGTCCAGCCGCTTGAGGGCGCCGCCGTAGTGCACGGTGTTGTGCTGGAGGTCGGCGGTGGACGAGGCCAGCCCGGCCAGCACCATGAGCACCCGCTTCCAGTTGGAGCAGCCCGCTTTGGGGACCTCGCAGTACAGCACGCGGTGGCGGTCCTCCACGAAGATGCGGGACACGTGGCGGGGCGTGACCGCCCTGCGGCTGCTGCTGGCCAGGTA